TTTCAGGTTGATTATGTGCATCAAAAATGATAAAGTATCTGAAAGCCTTTGAAGTTGTAGAGCATGTGTTTATTTAACCGTGCCTGTGAGATGCTTGCTGGCTATTACATTTGCCTGGAAGAGGGTGCATTTTGTCCCTGTTCCATGGTTGCTGAGAGACAGGTACTTCCAGTGTGTATAGGGTGTTATGACTGTACATAGGAAAGCATTTCTTGAGAGGGTTAGGGTAACATCTTGTTAGGTAATGAAAGTTATGGTACAGTGACAAGGTATTCAAGCTCATTATTCCTAAACATGACAATATTAGTTTTCTGATGTTGCTAAGAGGTTAACATGACTTTCATGCACAATAACCCAGTTTCTTCACAGTTCTGCAGGTCAGAAGTCTGGCATGGTGAAACTGGGTCTTTTTTCTTTTTTGGTATTAGGGATTGAACTGAGGGGTGCTTTACCATGGAGCTATATCCCTATTCCTTTTAATTTTTTTTTTTTTTTTAATTTTGAGGCAGGGTCTTGCTGAGTTGCTGAAGATCTCATTAAATTGCTAAGGCTGGTGTCAAACTTGCAATCCTCCTGCCTTAGCCTTCCGAGTTGCTGGGATTACAGATGTGTGCCACTGCACTCAATGGGTTTTCTTTTCTATTTTGCTGGTGGTGGGGATATTGAACACAGTGGAGCTTTACCCCTGACTTAGTTACATCCCCAGTCCTTTTTTTTTTTTAAATTGAAACAGGATCTTGCTAAGTTGCCAGACTAGCTTCAGACTTGCAATCCTCTTGCCACAGCCTCCCAACTCATTATGATTATGGGGGTGCACTATCATGCCAGGCTGAGATCCTCATTTCTTGTTGACTGTTGAAGGGAGGACCATTTGCAGCTCTAAGAGCCATCAGTTTCTTGCCATGTCTCCTGACAGGCATTTTGCTTTCTTCCAGGACAGAAAGAATGCATCTCTTTGCCTTCTAGATCTATATTTGAGAGGCTTATGTAATTAAGTTAGATTCATCCAGGTAATCTTTTGATTAACTCAGAGTCAAATGATTAATCTCGAATATCTTTTCAAAACTAGTTTTGTCAAGTAATGTAACATAATAATGGGAGAAATATCTCACAATATTCACAGGGTGAGGGTCACTTGGGATCATCTTAGAATGCTGCTTACCACAGTGACTAAAATGGTTTTCCTCATACTGTAATTGAAACCTGTAGATAGTTAATAACCAGTTGGTGGACAATAAAATAGTAATTGTGAGCTTGAATATAGTGACCAGGTTTCTTAGCAGAATAGCTTAGAAAAATCTGACTCCAGATTTTTTATGGCTATGAGAATTAATCAGCCAAAGTTTGGTTTCAAGGAACCTAAATTCCTTTATATCTTGAAGTGAGGATAGCTTATTAAAGATCCAGAAACCTGGGATAACTGCTCAAGTACATTTAGATTCTTACTCTTGCAACTCCAGAGGGTTAAAAAAAGCCATCAGGCTGGGTTGTGGCTCAGTGGTAGAGCACTTGCCTCTCATGCATGAAACCCTGGGTTTGATCCTCAGCACCACATAAAAATAAATAAATAAAAATAAAGATTAAAAAAAAAAAGCCATCTGGCCAAATTTGCCAGGTGGTACTACTTTTCTGAGAACAGTGTTTTTTAAAACTTACTCTTCAATTTTGTAAAACCTCCTTGCTTTATTTTGCCAGTTTATACAGAGCTGATGAGGCCACTACTAGACTCTGTTTCAAATTTTTTAGTGCCAATTTAAAAAAGTCACAGTGAGGTTTACTTTTCAAGTATGTAAAGGTTATTGTTTAGGTATCTGGACATTTGAAAAGTTGAATTAATAGGCCAAACATTTCTTAGACATGGGATTACAGCAGAGAAAGCAGGTTGGTTAGAAGGTATTTGCTCTAGTCTTGTGTACTTTTCTAATTACTTTGCTAATGTTTTACTCCCTCAGGGGCCTTTTTAGAAAAGTAGATCTTACATGTGACTATTTATATTAGATATGAGTAGAGCTTCTTTGCTCCTGGTAACAGCCTTTGAAGCTGGCATGGTAGGAGAATTATGGGTCCAGAATTATGGGTCCAGGTGTGGAAAGAGTTTATTAAAGTTTTTTTAAACTTTTAATAACAGCTGTTTCTGGAGTACTCAGAATGGTTGTAATTTAGTTAGAATAAACATTGTACAGGGACTGTGTTTTCCCTTCGCATTTTCTAAGTACAGTGTTGACTTTTAGTTATATTTTCTAGACATTTAAAGCATTGATAAGGCTTTATATCACATTCACCTATTTTCTTTTTTTGGCACCAGAAATTGAACTCAGGGGCATTTGACCACTGAGTCACATTCTCAGCCCTTTTCTGTATTTTATTTAGAAATGGTCTCACTGAGTTGCTTTGTGCCTCCCTATTGCTGAGGCTGGCTTTGAACTTGCCATCCTCCTACCTCAGCCTCTTGAGCTGCTGGGATTACAGGTGTGCGCCACTATGCCTGCCCGGCTCAACTATTTTCTTGTTTAAATTTTTTTCTCTTTTTTTGCTTTGCTAGAGATTGAATCCAGGCCCTTGCACATGCTAGGCAAGCACCCTACCACTCAGTCATACCTCCTAATCCTCTTGTTTAAAATTTTAAGATATTCTTTTTCTTGTTTTGTCTTGGGTAGTAGAGGATTCCTTAAGGTGACTTATGCACACAGCTAATTTCAGTCTGTCAGGTATTGATTTCCTGATTGGTCCTTTAGAATGGGTGTATGTGTTGAAATTCTTAATTAAAAGCAGCAGAATACAATCTATCTGGGTAAGCAGGAAGGAATTTGTTTTTTTTTGTGGTACCATGGATTGAACCCAGCGGAGTTCTAGACTGAACTGCTTCTTTAGCCCCTTTTCAAATTTACTTTTGAGTTAGGATCTACTGAGTTACTGAGGCTAGCGTTGAACTTGTGATTCTCCTGCCTCAGCCTTCTAATAGGGATTACAGGCATGTGTCACTGTATTAGGCAGGTACTTATTAAAGAATATTCAGTAACTGAGAGAATTTCCTTGAGTGCCCTATAGTCTGGGCTGATTACTCCATCCAGCCTCACTGGGAGGCTACTCTAATAAAAATGTTGCAGTTGCCCCAGTTTGGCAGCAACAGTACATCTTTCACTTCACAGCTCATGTCTGCATGACTGTATGAAGCTGTTCTATGCTCACTGATGATGAACTTTAATTTTGCATGTCTATTTTCTCACATCGCTGACTTATGACTCAGTCTCATGTGGGTGTATCTGATTGGTAAAGCTCAAGTTACTGCCCCAGATAAAAAGAAGACTGAGTTAGTGAGTTTTTTTGCTTTTTTTTTTGTTGTTGTTGGTTGGTTGGTTGTTTTTGTGTCTTTTCTCCCTAGTGTTAGGGATTGAATTCAGAACCTTGTGCATGCTGGGTAGGCGCTCTCCCACTGAGCTATATATCTCTAGCCCAAGTTTTCAGAATTGTAACTTATGAACTTATAAAAGTTGTTTATAGAAAAAAGATTACTAAATTTTTGTCAGATTTGTAGATGCTTTATCCCTCTTTCCAGATGCTGTCTCCCTCTTCCCAATTAAACTGCTCCTTTTGATTTCAAATTTTTTCTTTTCCTTTTTTTTTTTTGGTGATGTAGGGGATCTGAGCCCTTGTGCATTTTGTTTTCTGTTTTTGACAGAAATAGTGTTTCTTTCTCATTGAGGGATTAAATAAATAGACTTATTTTTCTTTTGTATTTCAAATAAAAAATTTAAATCTTGAATAAAGCTTAAGTATAAAGTATAAGGATTCAGTTTGGTGTTTCTCTCCCCATATGAGTAAACATTCATCCCAATACCATTTATTAAGTATCTGTCCTGATGTGAATTGTTGTTTATCATAAACTAAATATATATGTCTATGTATGTATATTATTTGTATATATGTGCACTATTTCTCATGATCTCTCAGTTCCAGCCTATCTGAAACAGTATGTGTTACATACTGACTTTAGATTTGACATATCAGAGTTCTGTTTGTTCATTCATTTTCTCGTTTATTTGACAAATACTTCTAAAATACCTTTTATGTAGAGCTGTGTAGACTGTAGAAGGGTAGGCATCAAGACATTCATTTCTATGTGTAGATGAGTTCACATGTGTTTTGTTACAGGTATAGAGGGATATTGAAGTTTTGGTTTTATACTTTAAGGGCTGTTTTTCTCTTATTTTAGAGTAGACCTCAGACTCCTATTTTAAATTTTGGGCCCTTTTGAGGATTTTTGTATTGAGGATTTCAATAGTCAGGATGTCCTTAGTATCTCAGTATCCAGCTGTGGAGCACAAATAGATTTAAAGAAAGGCCTTTAACTGGAAAGGTAGGGAAGTGCTATTTTACTGTGCATTTATTTCCTTTTTAAAAAAAAAAAAATTTTTGCTTTTTGGTGTAGATGGACACAACACAATGCATTTTATTTTTATGTGGTGCTGAGGATCAAACCCGGGTCCCGCCCGTGCTAAGGAGCACTCTACTGCTGAGCCACAATCCCAGCCCTTAATTGTGCATTTCATTGTGCTGTATTCACTGTTTAAGGGACCTTAAAGATGGAATTAACAATCTTATTTTTTTTAAATGAACTTTAAAATTTGGAATCATATTGTTTTGCAGAAAAGTTGTAAAGTTAAGAGATTTCATATTCTCCTCATCTGGCTTCATTTCCCCTCAATATTTTCAAATTATGTTACAATCACAACCTTACTTTATATATAAAGAGACAGTAACCTTCAAAGAATTCATTTACCTAAGATTATAGTTCTAGTTGGCAGCAGAGTCAGGCTAAGGACCCAGTCAGTAGCCTGCCGTGGTTAGTTATATTTTAGCCATTTTCTGCTTTTCATGTGGTTGTGCCTTTCCTTTCTTTCACTGAGTTCTTGGACATGTACTGAGAGAAGAACTACCAAGTACAAAGTGTACTAGACAATGTAGTGTTTCTAATTTTTATAATTTTTTAAAAAATCTAGGCTTCCTCTAATTTGTCACCAACAAGAACTAAGAGCAGGACATCTTCATTTACAGAGCAACTTGATGAAGGTACACCCAATAGAGAGGTAAGTTTGAAATAGATTTCTTTAAGAAGAAATGTAATCTAAAATGTAATGCTACTGTCAATAATGATGGGAAACTATTTTCAGAGGTCTATTATTTAATTTCTGCATATTGTTTTTATTAGTAATATAGTCTTTTAAAAAATATGATTATGCTTTTGTAAAGCATTTTTTAAGAACCTTAATTTGAGAAGATAGATATTCTGAATTTAATATTTAAAAGTTTCAGAATAATTTGATGAAAGTTTGTTCAGCATAGAATAATATGGGTAAAAACCCTGCATTTTCAATCTGGTGAGTGGAAACTGAAAAGTAACTTAACTGATTCCATACAATTAGCAGTTGACACCCAAACTCATTTTTTTTCCAACTTTTTTTTCTTTCTGTGAATCGTAACACAAATATAGAAAAGAGGGTAAGACATAAATGTGAAAATTAGTGAATTGTCACAAAATGAATCTCCCAGGTCAAGAAAAGAAACACTTCCAGCACTTTAGTGTTTCTTCCCTCCTGAAAGATTACTACCATCCTGAATTTTTGGTGTTTGCCTTTTTATTTTCTTTATAGTTTTACCATGAAAGTATGCTTTCTAATGTGAAAATTATAATTAAGCATTTGGATTGTCTCCAGTTTTTGGCTGTTATGAATTGTGCTGCTGTGAACATTATTGTACATTTCTTTTGCTACACATTTATGTGCATTTTCATTGGTATTTACTCTGGAATAGAATTATTGCCTTATAGGATATAACTAGTTTTAACACTTTAAAGGATAATACTAGTTGTATTTCAATAGAAATTTACTTTCTTACCAGGAGTTCAAGAACATTACTCTTGGGGCTGGTGCTATAGCTCAGTGGCAGAGCCCTTGCTTAGCATATGTGAGGCACTGAGTTCAATCCTTAGCACCACATAAAAATAAACAAATAAAGACATGTTGTCCACCTACAGCTACAAAATAAATAAAAAAAAGAGCATTACTCTTGCTCTATATCCCTGTTAGTCTTAAATTTCAGCCATTCTGGTGGTATTAGTTGTTTGTTATAGTTTTAATTGGCATTTCTTTGATGATTAACATTATATTATTTGTCTGTTTATTGGCCATCTGATACTTTCTTTTGTGAAGTGCTTGTTTAAATACTTTGCCCACTTTTCTATTGGCTTGTCTTTTTCTTACTTATGTATAGGACATTTTTTTTTTTTTAAATTTTTTAGTTTTTGGTGGTGCTATGGATTGAATTCAGGACCTAGTGCATGCTAAGCATGCACTCTATTGCTGAGCTACACCCCAACCCCCAGGAGTTCTTTTCTATATAGTGTGTTTAAGAGTTCTTTATTAGGTATATGTTTTGTAAGTATCTTTTTTCAGAAGTTCTTAGTTTTAATATACTGTCCCATTTATCAAAATTTAAATTTATGGCTAGTGTTCTTTGTTACTTGTTAAAGAATGTTTTTTTTCTTACCCTGAGAGTATTTACCTGTATTATCTTGTTTTACTTTTCATATTTAGATTTTTTACTCCACTTGGGAGTGATTTTTTTAAGATAATGTGAGATAGGGTTGGTTTTATTCCCTATGATATATCTTTCCAGCTGTCCCATTTTTCCACATTGCTCTACATTTTGCAGAAGCTGTCCATTTTTGAGTGGCTTTGTTTTTGAGTAATCTGTTCTATTTCATTGTTTGCTTTGTCATTGATTCATATCACATATCTTAACTATAGGTTTATATTTTTGTTCTCAGCAGGTCCTCCCATCTTGATATTGTTGAATGTCTTGGTTATTCTTATTATTTTCCATATAATTCTATGTAAATTAAAAATATATTTTTTAATAATTGTACATGGACAGCATGCCTTTATTTATTTTTTTATGCAGTACTAAGGATCAAACCCAGTGCTTCACACATGCTAGGCAAGCGCTTTGCTACCGCCCCAGCCCCTCTATATAAAATTTTGAATCAGATATTTAAGTTCCACAAAAACAAACTCAAAGCAAAGCAAATACAGCACACTGATCACAAAACAAACCTATAAGGATTTTGATTGAAATTACATTGAATCTATAGATTAATCTTGGAGGAAACTTTAATGTTACAAATTTATAATTTTTTAGAATTACAAATAGTGCTATAATGAGTATTGTACATATACATTTGTAATGCTATTATTCTGTAGGATAGAGTTCTAGGCATGGGACTACTCGGTCATACAGTATGTGTAAATTTAAAAACTTGAAAGTTACATGTAAACTGTCCCAACAAAGGTTTTTAAAAAACCAGTTAAAAAAAATATCTATTTAGGAGTTGCAGTTGTAGCTTAGTAAAGTGCCTGCCTAGAATGCATGAAACTCTGGTTTTTATCCCCACTACCAAAAAAAAAAAAAGTAAAAAGTCATTTATTTAGTAGATATTGATACCATAATCAATTTTAAAATGTCATACCTATATTAACTTTCTATTACTATAATAAATGCCCCAAATAATCAACTTAGAAACGTTTGTGGGGTACAGTGGCAGCATGTGCTAGATATTTAGGAGGATCATGAATTTGAGGCTAGCCTCAGCAATTAGTGAAACTCGCTCCCTGGCCCCCCCCCCCCCCCCCCCCACAAAAAAAAAAGGACTGGGAATGTAGCATAGTGGTAGAGCATCCATTGATTAAATACTCTGGGTTTCCTGGGCTGATGTTTTTTCCTTCCATCTTTATATACTCTTAGTCTTTTTATTTGTGATTAGGGCTTGGGAAAGTTAGATACCTTTTTCTCTTTTTTTGATACTTTTTTTGTTTAAAGATTCTATGTATAGGGCCTGAGGTTGTGGCTCAGTGGTAGAGCGCTTGCCTAACACATGCAAGGCCCTGGGTTCAATTCTCAGCACTACATAAAAATAAATAAATAAAATAAAGGTATTGTGTCCAACTACAAATAAAAAAATATTTAAAAAAAAGATTGTATATATAGTAGAGATATCTAAATAGACAAAATATAGACTTGAATTGTGGTTTGAATTTGACCAAGGGATTCACTCAACCTGTGCTTCATATTTTCTCATCTGCTGTGCTATAGAAAATTTATTCTTGTATCTTCTGTAGGGTGTATCATCATAGCTACTTGGCTAAGGTATACAGAATCACAAATAAGAATGTAATGGATTTAATTCACCTAAAATAGTAATTATTGCTACTGATGGTTGTACTTAACAGTGTCCCCTAGGATGATAGATACAGGATCAGCTATCTTCAAGGCAAAAGAATTTTTACCTTTGATGAGGTACTACATTTCTGAGCATCCCGCTCTATGTTATATATGAGAGATGACAATCAAGCTTTTGTTGCCTGTAAATAAAAGGAAATCTAAAAATCACTGAAAAGAAATAGTAATAGTTTCTCAAGGAATTTCAAAGCTCTTTCTCTAAAGAAAATACTGCCTGTTATTATAAATAAGCAGTCAAATGCTGTGTTCGTGAAATGCTAGATCTTCATCTGGAGAACTTCTGGTCAAATTTTGCTATGAATTTACTCTATGTCAAAGACACATAAATAAGAAATAAAAACTTTTAAAAATGGAGATATATATCTGGATTCACAAATAAGGTAAACTGAAGCCCTAGTCTTAAGTGACTCTAGGTTAGAATAAAGACAGCTGTTTTCTGCAAGTATATGATGCATGGCGTTTTTGGTTGAAAGGTGACGCCAGCTAGCCATTGAGATGATATGATTATGTTAAGATTTGCATTCATATGGATATTGGACTCCTACTGTTCACCTGGCCTGCTAGGGACTCCTGGAGAGTTCCCATTGGTTGGGGAAGTACAGTAGGAGGGAGTTCCGGGGGAGGAACTCTCTCTGGCGGTTCCGGGAGATTGCTGGGATTACAGGCATGTGCCAATGTACCCTGCTTCAACTGGAGTTCTATAGGAGAATTAAGCCCTCCAGAAAATGATTTGACAATGGTTTCCCAAGGATGGTATCAAATTAGTACATGCTAGATGCATGGATGATAACATAACTTGTTATGTGCAGTAGATGCCTTACTCTAGGCTTACTCTAGGTAGAGTCTTTGGACTCTGGTTTAGAGGGACTGGGAATCTTCTAAGCTAGGAAGTTAGATTTTGTGCCATAAGCCAGAGAATAAGGTAGGGCTCCTAGCAGTTGTTAAAAGGATGTTACAAAAGGATATGGTTAACTATACCTAGATCTGTCCTTGACATATTAAGGGAAATTACTGTCCTTATGGAGGCTTCATGATTATGAACTGAATCAAACTTCACATTGGCTTGGTGAATAAGTTTGACAAATTGCCATAGGATAGGAAACCTAAACTGGGGTTTAGGAATCAGATTGATTGGATAAAGAGGCAGAGTTGCCAAAGGAAATAAAAAGATAATACCTTTCTTAAAATGAGCCTGTAAGTGAAAATGTAAAATAAATGCTAAGAAGGCAGCCAATAGATACAGAAATTGGGTGTAAGTTAATTTCAAATGAAATTAAGATAATAGAATAACCTGGAAAAGACTAAAATTTTTTTCTTCAGTAAGAAAAATGAAATAATAATTTTCTTAAGTATAGAAATTTGTGGTTGGGAGGTGGAACAAAATTAGACTAAGTAGATATGGAAACTAATTAGAAATACTGAAAATGAAAAAAAATGATATAAACATAAAAATCATCATAATAAAACTCAGGGAAAATCAGGGAATTAAAAAAGAAGACTGACAATCCCACCAAAAACAGAGATTAAGGGAAAGTAAATATGTGTCTATACATGAGGTGGCAGGATAGAGTGTAATCCTTCAGTGCACACCTACAAGGAGTTTCAGATAGTCTTCAGTTTAGTCAGTCTTTAGTTTAGTCCTCAGTTTTAGTTTAGCTTATGGCTTCGGTGGGGGCCACAAAGAAGAAGGGAATTAAATTCTTAGTAAATAGTTTTGGGTTAGAATTTGAACAGAGTTTGAGAAAGATTGAGTTGAGCTGGCATTTTAGTGAGAAAACTTTAGAACTGATGT